CTCTTATTCATACATTGTTGTGTTTCTACCGTCAGACGGTTAGAGGAATCAGAAATGGATGCAGCTTATTCAGGCTACATATTGTTTTTTGGAGAGCATTTCAACACTGCCCCTCGGATCTGATAAAATCCACCAAACCCAATAAGAGAGTCCACTCATGTATAGATTGACAAAGGCAGTGGTCCCGTTACACTCCAAGTCAAGCTGGGAGTGTGGTCACAGATTAAAGCAAAGGTGTGTACAACTGCCATTTTCAGAGCAGGTGACTCTGTGCTTCTTCAGCTCCTTGTGTTGTATGTTTTTTTTCCAAATGAAATGAAATCATCAGGGCCCAGCATGTGCTGGCCTTGGTGGCATCTGTGGGAATCATTCTCACTAAAATAGTTATCGTCTGATTTGATGATAGAGCTGAGTTTTTTTTCTTGAATACAGGGCTATTAGGAACACGTGGAGAACCTGGATTTACTGGACAGCTTGGACTACCTGGACCACCTGGACCTCCTGGACCTGCCATATTCTGTGGACCAGGTGATCACGATTTTTTCCCCAACTGATTCATTTGTTAATAACATACAAGAAAGTGAAGTATTTGATATTCTACATCTCTCCACACAGCAGTGGCACATTGTACAGGTAGATATATAGAATGAGTGAAAGGTTTTGTTCTTTTCTCCTGGATGGGCAGAACTAATCACAATAGATAGATACCTGTTTATCAAAGATGGATACAGCAGGGCATAAGTCTTTGTCATTTGTACTGTTTAAGGTAATATCAGCATTAATTTGGAGATATTCTCTTTAGCACCCTTTTGACAATACATCAAAATGGTTCATTACACGATTGAAGGTATGTGTGAATTCTATCCAAAAACATGCCACTGGGCTATTTAATCTAAACTAGTGGTATTTTTTTTAAATCTGTGTTTGACTATAAATCATCAATTCAGTTAATGTTATCTTATACAAACCTTATCTGGCAAAAGCATTAAGATCCAGTTTGCTTTATATCGTGAGTTATATTTATTGTGAATTCAATAAAAGAATAAATCGTTAACACTATAATGTCATATGTATCATATTTGACACATACAATTATTCAAATCTTTGTGAGATCTTTTGAATCATTTAATGGTAAGAACTTTGCGCAAAACTCTGTTGCCCATAATCAGATATCTACTTGATAACAGCGGGCAGAAGACCACACAACTTTTTTTTTTACTTATTGTACGGTAATGAATGACAAATATTCCAAAATGATTTCTACTAAAAAGATTTTAAAGGATTCAGGACACACTTTTCCATTCTGTGAGCTACACACAGCTGAATGAACGTTGATAACTTTGATAATTTCTTCTTCTCAACCCAGATATCTTTGGTTCTGTTTTTGAAGACGTTGAGACTTTACAGAAGACCGTTGCTAAGTTAGAAAAGGGTAAGTTACTCATTCATCATAAATTGAAAGTCTTACAGGGTAGAAGAGAATGTGTATGGGATGTCATATTCTCAGTACATATTCTGGAGGACATAGTACATCAGAAGCTTTTTTAACATTACAGGATTTATTTACTCGGTTATTTTTCCTGATTTTCTACACGCTTTCTTTTTCTTCTTCTTTTTCAGCCATAAACTTTAACTTTG